AAGACATATGTTCTATATCGGAAACTAGAGCTAATGTGGTCTATCCAATGCAGTTTTCTGAATCAGCACCTCAAATAACCAAACCAAATCTACAGTTGACCAAAAATCGATTTGTATCCCTTTTGGTACTAATATTGGAGAGTGGTGCCTGGTCAAAAAAAGTTGGGAACCACTGCTTTATAGGTAACTACAAAACAATTGTTCATGCTTTCCCCTCTTTGCAGAATGACCCTCAGATCACAATCAACTTGTAAGTATATACAGGCAGTCCCCTAGTTACACACAGTTGATTTACAAATGACTCATCGTTACAAACAGGAGTGAAGCAACAGGAAGTGAGTGAAATCTATCCCTAGGAAGGGAAATTCACCCGTGAAAAAGTTATTATCATGGGGAAAAGGTGTCTCCTTTGAAGCTTTATCACCAGTCCTTGTTTCCACAACAAGACGAATTTTTCAAAATCCAGTTATCACAGGGACAGAAAGTGAGGTGAAATCTTCTGAATAGGGCCACAGATAAGAAAACAAACAACATGGAGGTATTAACCCTTCCCTATAAGATCCAAAATTTTATATATGGCTTTGGATCGTGTGTGTGTGTGTGTGTGTGTGTGTGTGTGTGTGGAGCTACACTTTAAAAAATGAACCTGTTCTGACTTACATACAAATTCAATTTAATAACAAACCTACAGAACCTGTCTTCTTTGGGACTGCTTGTACATAACTTCATACCTATGAGTATATACAATATATTTAAGAAATTGTCCATTGAATAATATATTAAAAACAACACTGAGTTTCCCAGTGAACACTGGAAAATACACATATAGAATCATCAATGGTTGCATGACTGCAGTGGAACATTTAAAAAACAAAACCTGTGAGTCCATCTGCTGCAATGTCTCACATCAATTCCATAAGCAATTCTGATTCACCATTAGCTCAAGAGTGGCCTTCCAAATTTTGTTGAACTGCAACTCCCATCAGTTATTGTCTGTGTTAGCTAGACTGGTGGGAACTGGAGTCCAAAAACATCTGCCACATTTTTTCCATCCCAGTATAGACCCGGGTTTGGGGACATTAGGCCATACATTCATGAACAAAACTGAGGATCATAAACACTTTTTTAAAAATGTAGGAATTTGGCATTCTAAGCCTAAAAATAACCTCACATTTGCTCCATCGCATACACAGCTTACTCTGACATTTGTATTTTGAAATATGTGACTGAATAAGATTTCTTTGGGAGATAAAGAATAAACAGATAAGGGCTTTGAAGTCTTCGAATAGACTTTCAAAACACTTTTGCTTGTTCATATGAAACACAAAAAAATCAGTTCAAAAGACTAAAAGAAATCACACTGGAATGTAAGCATCCATATTAAATCAAAAACTGAACAATAACTGAATTGATAAAAAAAAAACCTACCCGTATATACTTGAATATAAGCCGCCCCGAATATAAGCCGAGGCACCTAATATTACCACAAAAAATTGGGAAAGCATATTGACTCGAGTATAAGCCGAGGGTGGGAAATGCAGCAGCTACTTGTACATTTCAAAATAAAAATAGATTACATTAATTGAGGCATCAGTAAGTTAAATGCTTTTTTAATATTTACATAAAACTGTAATTTAAGATAAGACTGGCCAACTCTGATTAAACCATTATTCTAACTTTCTTCAATGTAAATGTGCTTATGTATCCTTCCAATAATAATGAAGAGAGTAAAATAATGGAAATGTAATGATAACAGTAATAATTGAGTAAAATAATAAATGTAATAATAACAATAATACAGTAAAATAATGTAAAAGTAATAACAATAACAGAGTAAAATAATAAATGTATTAATAACAATAATAATAAAATAATGTAATAATAATAAATAAAGTAAAATAATAAATGTATTAATAAGTAAAATAATATATGTAATAATAATAATAATAATAATAACAACAATAACAATAAAATAATAAATAACTTTGATTCAAATATAAGCAGAGGGGTGCATTTTCTGTTGTATATATTGTATATAAGCATATATGGTAATTTGTGAAAGGACTGTGTGTAACATAGCATATTTAACTGTGTTTTTTGAATTCGGCACTCCAAACACATTGGAAATAACACACTCTTGTTAGAGAAAATGACCATGAAAGATTTGTGGCAATGCAGCTTCACACTTGTGATAATGTTCGTCTAGATCTATTTTAGTCACAGTTCAGGCCAGAATTGGTTTGATTACCTTGATCAAGAAGGCAAGATAATGATATAGCATCTTCCAATGGCTTCCCCTGGAATATCGACATGCTCCAACTATTCTTCGTTTTTGTGGCAGGTTAAAACATATTTATTTCAGAAACATGTGTCTAATAATATCTGTCTTGCATTCATTTTTGTGGATTATATATGTTCATTGTTATAAACTGCTTTGAAATATTTGAATCTAGTTATATGCAATTATTTGCAATTAAATAAAAATAAATAGATTTTCAGCTAGTGAGAAGGTTAGGGATTTGGGGGATTTGTGGTCCAAAAATGCCATTTCTCAGCATTGCTCTGTCTATAGTCTTTGTGAGGAAACAGTACCGTTATTTTTTTAAGGAATAGAAAAGCCAAGCACGAAGATGTATGGATATGAAAAGACCATGAAAAGTGACAATCGTAAAGCCATTGTGCATTTTTCATTATTCATGATTTGCCAAGGCTAGAGAGCAAGATATTTGAGGAGCTGAACTACAGAAGAGTCTTTGAATAAGGGAATTGTAGAATAAATATAGCATATCTGCTGGTTGTAATTTATTCATGACACTATGGTGCAAGTCATGTTAATTATAGGCAATAGAAAAACCAGATTGGCTGTTATCTTCATGCTTTCATGAAGCCCTGGCAACTTAATTTAACTCTTAATTTTGTCTTATTGAGAAATTTAAAACTGCTTTAACTTAAGCTTAAGCCTTGGTAGATGATCTACGCCAGGAACTAGACAGGGGGAGTGTGTCCCTGTTGGTTCTGCTGGACCTCTCAGCGGCCTTCGATACCGTCGACCACGGTATCCTTCTGGGACGCCTCAGGGATATGGGACTTGGGGGTACTGCTCTGCAGTGGCTCCAATCCTTCCTTGAGGGTCATTCTCAGAAGGTATTGCTGGGGGACACCTGCTCGTCCTCACAATCATTGACGTGTGGGATCCCGCAGGGTTCCATACTGTCCTCCGTGTTGTTTAACATTTACATGAAGCCGCTGGGAGAGATCATTCGGAGTTTTGGGGTCAGATGTCATCTGTACGTGGATGATGTTCAGCTCTATCACTCCTTCCCACCTGTTACTAAGAAGGCTGTGCAGGTCCTAAACCGGTGCTTGGCTGCTGTATCGGCCTGGATGAGGGCGAACAGATTGAAACTTAATCCAGACAAGACAGAGGTACTCCTGGTCAGTCGAAAGGCCAAACAGGGGATAGGATTACAGCTTGTGTTAGAGAGGGTTACACTCCCCCTGAAGACACAGGTTTGCAGTTTGGGAGTGATCCTGGATTCATCACTGAGCCTGGAACCCCAGGTCTCGGCGGTGGCCGGGGCAGCTTTTGCACAATTAAAACTTGTGTGCTAGCTGTGCCCGTTCCTTGGGAAGTCTGACTTGACCACGGTGGTACACTCTCTGGTTACATCCTGATTAGACTACCGCAACGCTCTCTACATGGGACTGCCTTTGAAAACTACTCAGAACCTTCAATTAGTCCAACGGTTGGTAGCCAAGTTGCTAACAGGAGCAGTGTACAGGGAGCGAACCACTTCTTTTTTTGCGCCAGCTTCACTGGCTACCAATTAGCTTCCGGGCACAATTCAAAGTGCTGGTTTAAATCTTTAAAACCCTAAACAGTTCTGGCTCAGTTTACCTGTCTGAACGTATCCCCTGCTATGAACCATCACACAGTTTAAGATTATCAGGAGAGGTCCTGCTCTCGATCCCGCCACTCTCGCAAATGCGGTTGGAGGGAACGAGAGACAGGGCCTTCTCAGCAGTGGCTCCCCGTCTATGGAACTCCCTCCCTAAGGACATCAGGCTGGCCACCTCCCTTCTGTCCTTCAGGATACAACTGAAGACCTGGCTGTGGGAGCAGGCGTTCGACTAGAGGCATTGATCAGAGGACAATGGCAGCTTGGAAGGGAAACTTGAACATTACGACATTGGATTGGTTTGGCTGGATCTTGGTTTTAGCGGCGTGTTAGTTGAATGTTAAATGATTTTTTTGATGATTTTTATAATGTTTTAATCAAGCTTTACTGTTTTTAATCGGATGTATATGTTGACAGCATCACTGATGCTTATGTAAAGCTGACCTGAGTTCCTTGTGGGAGAAGGGCGGGGTAGAAATGAAGGAAATAAATAATAAATAAATTAAGCTCTATTGTATGAGCAATTTAATTTGTATTTTAATATATATGATTTATTTTGGTGTTTTTTTATGCAAGATCTTTTTTTAATTGTGTTGGAAGCTGCCTTAGTTCCCAGTTGTGGGAGAAAGCACAGGCATGAATCTGTTTAGTAAAGGTCAAGGTTTTCCCCTGACATTAAGTTCAGTCGTGTCTGACTCGGGGGGTTAGTGCTCATCTCCATTTCTAAGCCAAAGAGCCGGTGTTGTCCGTAGACACCTCCAAGGTCATGTGGCCGGCATGACTGCATGGAGAGCTGTTACCTTCCTGCCAGAGTGGTACCTATTGATCTATTCACATTTGCATGTTTTTGGACTACTAGGTTGGCAGAAGCTTGGGCTAACAGTGGGGGCTCACACTGCTCCCTGAATTTGAACCTGCAACCTGTCGGTTAGCAAGTTTAGCAGCTCAGCGGTTTAACCCACTGCACCACTGGGGGCTCCCATGAGTCTGTTTACCAATTCACTTAATCTCCACCCTTATCTTTGCCATCAGTAATGTTTACGTTTGACCATTTTTTCATGGTTTTTTCAGCTGTGTCCTTGTGTGTGTTTTTACTTCTAGACAAATACGAGAGGGAAGCCAGTAAATACTGGGATCAATTTTACAAGACTCATAAAAACAATTTCTTCAAAGATCGCAACTGGCTGTTCTCAGAGTTTCCAGAAATTCTCCCAGAAGGAAAACGTGACCATGGTACCCAAATGGATTCAACAGCCGAAAGGAACTCTCATTTGACATTGACCAGCATACTTGAAGACAACTGCCTTTGTGAGGATAATTCTCTTGTAAAAGCTTCTTCTGTGCAAGGAAGTAATTTCAGTACTTGCCACAACTACTCCGATGGCAATCACCAAAGTAGCAAGTGTTTTGGAAAAGACTTCCCTGGTAGTGACGCTACGCACAGAATATTAGAGGTACAGCACTTTGAGGTGTTTTTAGCCCTGTGGACTACTGAGTCAGGGGCCCAATGCGTACACACGCTTCCTTTCATGTGCACACATTTCTGCATGGTGTTGCCCCTGAGATTTCAAAATGCTGAAATCAAAGATATAATATTGTAAGGATACAGAAATATTCAAGCCTTTTTTCACTTTCTTTCCTGCCCCCATTCAGCAATCCTGATCCAATTAGCTGTGCCATTCCTCTTCTTTAGTTAGAATTTCTGCTAATAGCAGGAAAACAACTATTTCGTCATTCAGATAATAATAACAACAACAACAACAACAACAAACCGGTAAAGGTGGTCCCAGTGGTGATCGGTACACTGAGTGCAGTGCCTAAAGACCTTGGCCTTGCACTTAAACACAATCGGCGCTGAGAAGATAACCATCTTCCAGCTGCAAAAGGCTACCCTACTGGGATCTGCACACATTATTCGCCAATACATCACACAGTCCTAGACAGTTGGGAAGTGTCCGACGTGTGATCCAATACAACAGACAGCAGAGTGATCTTGTTTGCTGTGGACTCATCTTGTTGTGTTTCAAATAATAATAATAATAATAATAATAATAATTATTATTATTATTATTATTATTTATACCGTGCCACCATCTCCCCAAAGGGGACTCAGGGCAGCTAACATGAGGCCAAGTCCAGAATTACAGTACAACAAAATAAAATAAAATACAAACAGCAAATAATAACATCAAAATAAAATACATATAATAACAGAAAATAAAATAAACAGATGCAAAATAACGTGATGAAGAAATAAAATAAAAGCATGGTGGGCGGGCCAAATGCACAGAATAAGATAGATAAAACCCTGGGTGAGATAAGTAAATTGAGAAGTATGTGTCTCTGGGGGAGCTCAGAAGGGGTGACCAATGGGATTGAGCCTTCATTAAAGATGGCAGAGAAGAGGGGATAAAGCCTTTTCCCTCAGTCTCAGCCCATGGCAATGGTCCTGGTCTAAACTGCTGTATTTATTTATTTATTTATTTCACATATTTGTATCCCGCTCATCCCACCCTAAAAGGGGAGTCAGGGTGACCTTACAGCAGGCAGCGATTCAATGCCAATACATATAAATAAAAATATAAACAAATACAATTAAAACTATGCAATTAAACAGTAATTATTAAAACATCAATTAAATTCACGTACTCCAGATTGTAGTTCAAGTCTTGTCGAATTGTCAATTCCATTAGTCCGTGATCCTTATTACACTATTTACTGGTTGAATACTTGGTCCCAGAGCCATGTCTTAAGCTTCTTCCTAAAAGACAGGAGGGAGGGTGCTGATCTGATTTCATTGGGGATGGAGTTTCATAGACGAGGGGCTACCACTGAGAAGGCCCTGTCTTTCATCCACACCAATCATGCTTGTGAAGATGGTAGGATGAAGAGCAAGGCCTCCCCAGGTGATCTTAACTTCTGAGGTGGGTCATAGAGGGAGATGCGTTTGGACAAGTCAGCTGGCCCGGAACCATTTAGGGTTTTATAGGCTAAAGCCAGCACTTTGAATTGTGCTCAGTAGCAGACTGTATCAGACACAATGTTCTTCTTGCTGTATCCCTAATTGGTTGGACTGCAAGAAAACATGAGCTGGGCTACTTTCAACCCTGTGGGAAATGGCCAATGATAACCTTCAGCATATGGTTGTCCATATGTTCATTAATTCTGGGTTTAGATCTCTATTCTTGGGTTTCCATGGTAAAGTGAGGCCCCATCTACACTGCTATCTAAAATCCAGATTATCTGCTTTGAACTTGATTATGTGGCAATGTGGACTCATATCATCCAGTTCAAAGCAGATCATGTGGGTTATCTACTTTGATAATCTGGATTATATGGCAGTGCAGAAGGGGCTTGAGTGGAGCTACAGATGCATACAGATTTGTAGTTAACAATCCAAAATTTGTAGTTTTGATGTCTGATCAGAAAGTCACAATTTACAAGCACATACTCTTTTCTAAACTAAACTCTTTCTTAAAAAATGAAATTAAATATTTCATATCTTTTCCAAGGCCTTTTTGAATATCTTAAGCAGTAGTATTTCCCTTCTGACTAAAAACTTAGAACCAAATGAAGTATTCACATTTTTGTGAATTTTACTGATTAACATCGTGTAAAAAATGTATTTCTGCTTTAGCTTACTTAATTATTCTCTGTGATGACTAAGAGTGGGTTATGGCTTTTGTGTGCCATTTTGTTTGTATGCAATTCAGTACATTGAGGGAAAACAACAAAGCAGCAATAATTTTGGAGCTATTGTCTCTGTGCAGCCATTTTTCTTATCTTAGTAAAGTAACTTCTTGACGTACTGTCAGATGTGTTGGAGTCCTTTCCACTAAGATTCTGCTGTTAGGTAGAAAAGGCTTGTAGAAATCTCCCTTGAGTATTTTATAAATATCCTCTTTAATCTACACCAAGATTTAAGAATAAGTAGAGGAAAAAATTAGGCATTTAAAAGTGTTTTTTCCCCCTTTATTTTTTAACAGGTTGGCTGTGGTGCTGGAAACAGTGTTGTTCCTATTTTGAAAGCTGTTTGGTAAGCTGTTTTACCCTGGCTCAGAGCAAAAGTCATCTGATAAATTAATGATGTGAGAACAGTTTGGTTTGCTGATGAAAGTTTCACTGTATGTGAGGAATGGGAATCGTGCCAATGTTTTTAGATTCCAGCTCCCGAAATTTGTCATCATTGGCTGTGTAGGCTAGGACTGATGAGGGACACACAATTCCCATTCTCCCTGTAAGTGATAGTTGTATGCCCCTAAAGAGCTTACTGATTCATATAGCCCCTGTGGCTCATCCATGGGGGTTGTATTTATTTATGTTGGTGATTATGATTAACCAGACACAAATCAGTTGCTAACAAGGATGCAATCTGTCCTGTGTTCTTGATCAGACAAAGTAGTATACTTTGTAGTATACTTTATTTATATTCCGCCCTTCTCCCCTAGGAGACTCATTTACATACACAGGCAAACATTCAATGCCTTTACAATCATATACAGTGAGACACACAAACAAAGGCAAAGGCAAAGGCTCCTCCTTTCATTTCTGGCTTCTGGAGGCGGTGCTCATCTCTGGCTCTGGGAGGATGCTTTCCTCCATTTTAAAGCCAAGGAGCCTGCGTCGCCATCTCCTGATTGTGTGGCCAGCAAGGTTGCTTGGAGTGTCTCTTGGCCTTTTCCCACTGAAGTGGTACCTATTTATATACTCACACATTACATGTTTTCGAACTGCTAGGTTTGCAGGAGCTGGAGCTGACAAACGGGAACTCACCTCGTCTCATGGATCGAATTGCCAGCCTTCAGGTCAGCAGTTCAGCAGCACAAGGGTTTAACCCAGGGGTCCACAAACCTTTTAAACAGAGGGCCAGGTCACAGTCCCTCAAACTGTTGGAGGGCCGGATTATAATTTGAAAAAAACATGAATGAATTCCTATGCACACTACATATATCTTATTTGTAGTGCAAAAAACACTTTAAAACAATACAATAATTAAAACGAAGAACAATTTAAATAAATATAAGCTTATTAGTATTTCAATGGGAAGTGTGGGCCTGCTTTTGGCTGATGGGGTAGTATTGTTATTGTTGTGTGCTTTCAAGTCATTTCAGACTTAGGTTGACCCTGAGCAAGGGCTGGGTAAATGACCTTAGAGGGCCGTATCCGGCCCGCAGGTCTTAGTTTTGGGACTCCTGGCTCTACCGAAGCTCCACGAGTTAAACTACCCCAACATTCACTCTCATTTACCCCAGCCAGCATAATCAATGACAAAGGATGATGGGAGCTGTGGTTGACAGGTTAGGGAAAGCAATACTAAACACACTAATTCCCAATTAAGGTCCTCTGACAGTGGTATGTTTCATATATGCTTGGTAATCTCTTAACATCTCAGTTGTTCAGTAATTGATAATTCACAGTTGAACATATAAAGTGGTTATGTTGACAAGTATTGTGTGTCGAGATGATGATGTCAAGTTGTATGAAAAGTGTTGCTAACACAACCGATCATTTGCTGTTGCAGCCTTCATGTATTGAACATACCACAGTCAATTTCTGCAGTAGATATACATAATGAATAATTGACACTTTTCTTTGATATTTCACTTGAGTTCTTGATAAAACTGGCACAAATCTAAATGAGTCATTTACGAGCAAAAGCTTGTATTCTTAGATGTGTTTCTATTGTTCAAAAATCATACTGAGGAAAAGAAGTAACAAATCAATTCACAAAGAATAAGCCAGCAAGTAATACAGCAAAGACAACGTGTTTATATATCTATATAAGTGCTTGTATATTGGTTGGTTTAATGTATTGTCGAAGGCTTTCATGACCAGAATCACTGGGTTGTTGTAGGTTTTTCGGGCTGTATAGCCATGTTCTAGAAGCATTCTCTCCTGACGTTTTTCCTGCATCTGTGGCAGCCAACCTCAGAGGTTGTGAGGTCTGAGGATGTCTGCCACAGATGCAGGCGAAACGTCAGGAGAGAGTGCTTCTACAACATGGCCATACAGCCCGAGAAAACCTACAGCAACCCATTGGTTGATTTGTTTGTACCACAAAGGCTCCTACTTGGCTTGATGAATCTGGACCATAGTTTGCACACATCCCCTTCACCACCAAAATTAAAATAATTGTGGAATTTCAACTTTAAAACACCTCCTGTTTGAGGGTGAGGGCCCCCAAAAGTAAAGAATGTGTATGTTACTTATACATCCAGCAGAGGGCAGTATATGAATAGACAGGATTAGCTACTGATCTATAGGTATGCATGAAAACAGGGCTTAGATGAGATCACAAGAAAGAATTATATAGTTAGAAAGGATTACCAGTAGCTTTTTGTTGTTGTTGTTCATTTGTTCGGCCGTTTCCGACTCTTTGTGACCTCATGGACCAGGCCACGCCAGAGCTCCCTGTCGGCCGTCACCACCCCCAGCTCCTTCAAGGTCAATCCAGTCACTTCAAGGATACCATCCATCCACCTTGCCCTTGGTCGGCCCCTCTTCCTTTTTCCTTCCATTTTCCCCAGCATCATTGTCTTCTCTAAGCTTTCCTGTCTTATCATTATATGGCCAAAGTACTTCATCTTTGCCTCTAATATCCTTCCCTCCAATCAGCAGTCAAGCTCATAGCTACTGCTACAGAAAATGACCGCACCGTGAGGCAAAAGCACAGTACTGAAGGCCACAGTAGGGACATCCACACCAGAAAAGGAACTTGTTGGGGAATCTGAGCTGTTGGTTCAAAATATAACCCTCAGTTAGGGTAATTCCACCTAAACATAGCAGAGTACCAGGAGTAAACTCCATAATTAGCTGAAACTTACATATGGTGAGAAGGGATATTCTTCTTCATTACGATGGCTGAGGATTACAGAGTCAGAACTTTAGGTTCAAAAAGATTTCTTAAAGTAAAAAAGAAATACATGATTGATAGAAAAGTCCTGAAGCTAAACAGCTTGCTAAATCTCATCTTCTAAAGAAGGTAAAATGTAAAAAAAAAAAAGTCAATGCAGCTACATTTTGCCTACAGAGAGGCAAAATGCATCCTCACTGGAAGAAAGAAAAGCAGAAGTGACATGGTGGAGAATGCATGGCGTTCCTGGGACAATTTAAATGTAAAAGGAAGTTCCCTCACATATTTTCATTACTACATCATGAAAGAGGGTGGAGATAGTGGCTAGCAGTAAGTAGAAAGACAAATCCCTTTAGGAAACATGTGGAGGGCCTGAGCTTGGCCCTGAATCTAGGCTAGCTACTCACTGACAACTAGAAACTTGATGACACAAAGACTTGTGCAGTCCAGGAATGAAACCCAACAGAAGTAAGCAATTTAATGAAGATTTATAGTTTGGAAGGTGTATTTGTCTACCTCTTAGTCAGAGAGTGAAAGAGTGTGATTACCAAGAAAAGGCTGGATAAAAGAAGACAAAGAAAAGAGAGAGGTATAAAGTAAGGGAAGTGGAAAAAGAGGAAGAAAGAAGGGAAAGGAGGAAAAAGGATGAAAAAAGAAAGGAAAAAAAGGAAAAGGAAGGAAGAGGGGTGAAGACGTATGAGGGAAAGCAAGGGCAGAAGGACAGGAAGAAAAGATCGATGGACATGGCATATGAGGAAAGGGGAGGAAGAAAAAAAGTCACAAAGAAAATGCTAACCTAGACAACACCAAGTAATAAACGAATAATTAATTAATTAACTAACTTAACTAATAAGCGTTTAAAATATGATCATGTTAAGCTGGTTTCTATATGCCATATTTTCAATTGCTAAGAGTTGTGAGATGCTCTATTCACTCAATATTAGAGGGTGGACATTTGGTTTTTTCTCTGCTTTGAAGAGTATTTCTTTCCACTATCCAAAAATGGAAATCAAGATGGGATCAGATCTATAAAGATATTGCAAAACAAATTAATTAGACCGATAACCTTTTTCCCCAAAAGGAAACAATTAATGGCATACACAGACACGTAAGGAGAATTCAAAACTTTGCTAAAGAAGCATCGTGGAATTGAATATACATTTTTCTCTCTCCATATATGTTGGAATATACAATCATATAGCATTGCTTCATAAGCCAGTTGATATTGGGGCGGGGAGGGGGTTTTCTTTCTCAGTATGCCAAGGCCTAACACCATTTCTGTGCTCATTGACTGAAACAATTCCTTCTTTTCTTGGAAACTTGCCATAGGGCAGTAAGTAATGGCTCCACAGACCACCACTATGAATATCACTGTTATAGATATTATAGCTAGTGTGCCTGCCAAAGATACTATCAGTTGTGCAAGACAGAGCTATTATACCATTGCAGGAAAACGTCTGTGTTGTTTAAGCTACTCCATCTGTCTTTGTAATTTAATAGTATCTGTTTTTTAGGGTAAGATGCCGTGAGAGCGTACTTTTCCCTCTGCAAAAGATCTTTAAGTTGTATTTAAAAAGGCATCCATTGTGCTAACGTAATATGAAGCACATATGGCATCCCAGGGCAGAGATCTTCCCCTTCATTTCATTTAGGGAACTTGCTATCATCACTTGCTCTTCCATGGAAAAGAGAAAGAGAACTCCTATCCTTATACAACATGGCTAAAAGTGTACCTGGGTGAGTTTCACTTATTGAAGTTGGGTCACATGAACTTTTCCCACTCTCCATTGATTTAGGGTTGTGACCTCCCTGGGAGCGTTATTTTTCTATTGTAGCTGTGTGTAGTTTCTGAGCCACAATGTGATTACTTTCAGGCCACAGTCCTCTAATGGTTTAGGATGTGTTCACATATTTGCCCCCAGTGGTGCAGTGGGTTAAAATGCTGAGCTGCTGAGCTTGTTGACCGAAAGGTCACAGGTTTGATTCCGGGGAGCGGCGTGAGCTTCCACTGTCAGTTCTAGCTTCTGCTAACCTAGCAGTTCAAAAACATGCAAATGTGAGTAGATCAATAGGTACCACTCCGGCGGGAAGGTAATGGTGCTCCATGCAGTCATGCCGGCCACATGACCTTGGAGGTGTCTAGGGACAACGCTGGCTCTTCGTCCTAGAAATGGAGATGAGCACCAACCGCCGGAGTCAGACATGACTGGATTCAGGGGAAACCTTTACCTTTACCTTCTTACTCGCTAGCTATGTTTACATATTAAACTTATCTGCGGTTTATTTGTTACTCTATCCATTTGTTGGTCTAACCATGAATCCCCCTGCAGAAACCCAGGCAAATCACATTTGTCTCTTTCTCTCCTGTTTCTTTAATTGGTTTCTGCTTCAGGATGGACATTTAGGAAAACAAGTAAATATCATAGTTTGATTTGAAGCATAACAACAATTGTTTTCAGAATTGCATAGTTCATAAGCTAATAACAAACTGGCTTCTCATTGTGATTTGTAGCTAACTAACTATGGTTACAGGGATTCCTTAGGACAAAACCAAGAATCCAAATTGAACAAACCACAACCTGACTTATATTGATATATATTAATTCAGCATTGTATTACTCTAGAACTGAGTCACACGTTCAACACCAAGTCATCAAGTGACCAGATCTAGGACTATTCAGCCTGAAGCCCCATTTTAGAAGTCAGTACAGTAGTGTGTTAGAATTTTACTTCAGAAGCAGTACAGTTTAGAAGTCAGTCAGTATCAGTATGCTGGAGTGTATAGTCAGTCCTTATTGACTCAATGTTCAGTAATGTATTAGACCAGTAGTTCTCAACCTAGGGTCCCCAGATGTTTTTGGTCTACAACTCCCAATATATATTACTCATTTTCATTGGAGTAAATGCTTTGCTTTGTTTTGTAGAATATCTCTTTTTCTCTCCACACACAACTAATATTCTTGGCACTTATGAATACAACTTTATATTTATTAAAAGAGTAAGAGATACGCTTCCTCTGTAGTAATTATAGGCGGGAGGCGACAAGGGAGCGACTGTCATACCAAAGTCAACCAAAATTGTAATATCAAATCAAAATGACAAATTTTGCACTGGTGCTCTCCAAGAGTCCTCTTTTTATTGTAGTAAAATCCAAAATTATCTTCTGCCAGTGTCCTGCTTAATAGAAGTTTACCATTCAGGGAAAAGTACAATTGACAACTCCTTCTGGACTGATTAAAATACAAAGCAGGTATTGCCAGGTACAGTTCTGTGACAGAGCAGACCTAATATAGCAAGATGCCAAAATGTTTTTATTTCCCAAACTAGGATATTTTACCAATTCAGCCCTTTTCCTGCATTCACCATGTTTTCATCCTCCCCTGCGTCCCCTATTTCCCACTTTCTCCAAATGCTGATTTACTTAATGGGTCATATTTGAAAACATACTATGTTTCTTCACAAAATCAGTTGGGAAAATTTAAATTTATTTTCTCCCCAGCAACATTCCTGAAGTCTTTCTGTATTGCTGTGATTTTGCCTCAGAAGCAGTGGAACTGATCAAGGTATTTCATATGTAATATTCATTCTAGAGTAAAGGTTACATCCCAAAACTCTTGATTTCAACAAAACAGACCCCTTCAAGAGACCAAGTTTCAGGGCTGCTCTACTGCAGCTGCTTAGAATTCATTTCTTTTTCTTTTTAAACATCATGCTTGTGAAGTGAAAAAGCAAGCAATGTGTCTTGGGTGTATTAATGCAGTCACACTGCCTAAACAGGCACATAATTCAGAATCAAAGCTGCTACTCTGTGTCCCTCTGCCCAGAAAATTGTGACTTTTGGCTTTGAAGTCAATGCCTTCTCAGTCTTGGCACCAGTCATCAAAAGTGGCCTCTTCTTGGGTCATTTACAACTGCTCAACCCAACTTGAGTTTTTCAAGGCATTATGGTTGTGTACCTTGTGATCTCTCTTCTAGTAATTGTTAACAGTATTTTGCACAGTCCACTGAATGGAGTATAAAGATCTTTTCAAACTGACCCCTGTAGTATACATGATACTTCACAAATCAATCTGAGAACTGAGGTCTCTCTGTAGGATGCTTTAGTATAGTAAGTCAGAGCATTGATCCACGTAGTTCACCTTTATTTCTTTCTTTATTTATTTACCATATTTGTATCCTGCCTTTCCTACCCATGGAGGGGACTCAAGGCGGCCCTAAAACAGGCAGCAGTTTGATGTCATACATACATGTACCAAATAAACAATTACAATTAAGAACAAACAATTAAAACATCAAACATCAGTTAAAATCACACCATCCAAAATATAATCCAGGACTATTCCATTTGTCAATCACATTGATTTGTGGTCACTTATGGCACTGCTCCAATTACTTGTCAAAAGCTTGGTCCCAAAGCCACATATTAAGTTTTTCTCTGAAGTTCAGAAGAAAAGGGGCTGATCTGATTTCATTAGAGAGGGAGTTCCATAGACGAGGGGCCACCACTGAGAAGGCCCTGTCTCTCATCCCTACCAGTCCCGCCTGCGAAGGAGGCAGGACCGAGAGCAGGGTCTCCCCAGAAAACCTTAATCTCTGAGATGGTTCATAGAGGGAGATAGTTCGGACAGGTAAGATGGGCCGGAACCATTTAGAGATTTGTAAGCTAAAGCCAGCACTTTCTATTGTGCTTGATAGCAGACTGGGTGCCAGTGGAGCTGGCAAAACAGGGGGGTTGTGGGCTCCCTGTACCCCGCTCCAGTGAGCAGCCTGACTGCCGCCCATTGGACTACTTGAAGCTTCCAAACAGTTTTCAAAGGCAACCCCATGTAGAGCGAGTTGCAGTAGTCTATTCTGGATGTAACTAGAGCATGAGCTACCGTGGCCAAGTCTAACTTCCTAAGGTATGTGCACAACTGGTGCACAAGTTTTAATTGTGCAAAAGCCCCCCCTAGCCAGTTCTAGGGGTTTGCCCCAAACTCTAGTGTATTCCTGCCATAATCAGAACTCAGAAATTGTAATGTAGGACTCCAGATTTGCAATGCTCTGTTATGTTTTACTTTGTATGTACTGTTCATATTTTTAAATAAAAAACAATAAAAAGTATATTTTACAAAATTAAATGATTTGGGTGAGACAAGGTTTAGTTTAAGCATGTCTGTTTTTAGGAAATATTCTAACTGGTTTAAATCTCTTTTATTCTTTCAATGGCAATCATGACAGTCACACCCATCTTTTGATTCCTCCCATTGCTTTGCCTTTGTTCATGACCTGTGTGATGAGGACTCCCCCTATCCCTTCCCAGATGAGAGCCTGGATGTCATTCTCCTCATCTTCGTCCTCTCTTCTATTCATCCTGACAGGTGAGTGAAGGCTGAAATGGCATGCAGGGAAGGGCCCATAGCAAATACATTACACTGTCTTTCACTGCCATGAGTGGATTTTGTGGCTACCTGTGAGAGAATATGAACAGTCTTATGTTCTCTTCCTTAAAAGAGTGTCTTCAGCTTCTCTCCTGTCCCTAATCTGAGCAGGTCAGATTAGTGTGTCTTTGAGCAGCCTTCTCTTTCTTGTAGCTCACACTTAGAAAGTTACTTTTAAAAAGTACCCTGTTGCTTGTTACTTTTTACAAAATCTATAATTGCATGGAACGCCCAGTTAACATTGTTAGTTGGTTACTTACTTGTAATATTGTGTTTTTGAATATGATCCTCTAAAACAGAGGTCTTCAAACTTTTTAAGCTGAAGGCTGGTTCACAGTTCCTCAGCCTGTTGAGGGGCTGGACTATATTTTTCAAAAAACATAAGCAAATTCCTATGCACACTGCATACATCTTATTTGAAGTGTAAAAAGAATAAAAGAACAATATAATATATAACATGAAGAACAATGTTAACCAGCATAAGAATACACTTGAAGCTCAGGTATCAGCAGTGGCTGATTTCAAGGTTAGTAATGTTGGATCTGACAGCAACTGTATATTTACTCACAACTATAAAAATGTGTAGCTAATTGGAAGATATCTACCATTTTCTTATCCAGAATGACATGGAATTCAGCCATTGTAGTTCTCTTGTGATTGGCCTATATTAGGAGATCATGGCAGGGTAAAGCAACATTTATTGAAAAGTGAGTGCTATGTTTAATGTTTTTAGAGTATTATATTGTGAATCAACCATAAACTGAAATCATTGTGATAGGTTATTGCTTTTCCCTACTTTTTATTGTATGTAAACTACTTTGAGCACCTCTTTATTTTATAGAGAATGGAAACGCAGGGTATAAATTAGATCAAAAGAGAAAATGTGTCCTGTTACTGGCAGGCCACTTGCAGTCCCACAGTGGGGTTCAAAAATAAGATGCAAGATACCACTTTATATTTTGACATAGGATGAATAGGATACTGTTCTCTTTCCACAGGACCCAAAGAATTGTGAGCAGGCTGGCTAGACTATTGAAACCCGGTGGGATGATGCTGTTTCGGGACTATGGAAGATATGATGCTTCTCAGCTTCGTTTTAAGAAAGGTATGTTCAGGGAGATACATGCTTTGTTTATTTGCTTGTGATTCACTGGTGAAAATGACATTGCCTTTTCCCTTGTTTCCTCCCACTCTAGGATGCTGCCTGTCAGATAATTTCTATGTAAGAGGCGATGGAACAAGAGCTTATTTCTTCACAAAAGGTATTGGGGTCAGCAATGCAGTGGGATGCTGTCAGTTTGCCTGCAGCAGGAAAGTGGCTTTATGAACTTTGATCTAGGAGTTAATGTGAGAAAAAAAGCATTTATTTTGTCCATATGTTGTTGCTGTTGTGGTGTGCCTTCAGTCATTTCTGACATGGTGATTCTTAAGGGGAACCTATCACAGGATTGTCTTCACAAGAGTCTTACTAGCTGTTTATAACTCTGTTGTAACAACAAAAGTTGCCTCCTATCTGTTTAAAGCAGTGTTTCTCACCCTGGGGGTCGGGACCCCTGGGGGGGTGGTGGTCATGATGGTGGTTTCAGAGGGGTCTCCAAAGACCATCAGACCTTGGCAAAGAAGGCTGAAAATCTCTCCACCTATCCTTCTCTTCCTTTTTGGAATCAGACGGTGAATCCTCCCACCAAAAGCCCTTCTCCTGCTCTCTGCGTGTAGGTGAACTACAACTCCAAAACTCAAGGTCAATGCCCACCAAACCCTTCCAGTATTTTCTGTTGGTCTTGGGAATTCTGTGTGCCAAGACTGGTTCAATTCCATCGTTGGTGGAGTTCAGAGTGCTCTTTGATTGTAGGTGAACTATCAATCCCAGCAACTACAACTCCCAAATGACAAAATCAATCCCCCCCAACCCCACCAGTATTCAAATTTTGGCGTTTTGGGTATTTGTGCCAAATTTGGTCCAGTGAATGAAAATACATCCTGCATATAATGATATTTATGAAGTACCAATGAAAATAATTTTATGGTTGGGGGTCAACACAACATGAGGAACTGTATTAAGGGGCCGCGACATTAGGAAGGTTAAGAGCCATTGGCTTAAAGCATTTAAAAGGAGAACAGAATATATTGATCAAATTGGTATACAGTGTAAGGGGAACAAGGACAATCGGATGTATACACCTAAGGTACATTTGGTTATAAGTTGGCTATTCCCACTCTTTCTATCTGAACTTGCATTTTTATGATTTTACTTAGACTTGATGTAAACTGTATGTTGTGTTTATATTTTCTGTTTTGATAAGCCCAGTTGGTTAATCAATAAAATTGTTTCATGTTTCATTTACAAGGGCTTCACCTTTGTCTCATCAGAGTTGAGAGAATGTGACATGCCCAAGGTTTCCATGGCCAAACAGGGATTTGAGTCCTGGTTGCCAGAATTGTAGTCCAATACTAAAACATCATAAACTAAATTGTTGCTACTTGGTGGCCAAACCAATGTGATGTTTGGAAATGTTATTTTTCCAGGTTACAGCTTTCACTGGACATATGGGATTCTGAGAGCTGTTAATTTTTCCATGTTCTGGATTAAAGTAAGCCCTCATGACTGAATCTAATAACTAAATTCAAATAGTTGAATTTAATAATTAAGCTCTGATCTCCCAACAGTCCTTCAGATTGTTTGGGGAGTGGGGCCAGACTATAATTTGAAAAACACACAATTTCTTACTCTCACTGCACATATCTTATTTATTGTGCAAAACTATAATATAATAACAATAACTTTATTTTTGTACCCCACCTCCATCTTCTCGAAGGGACTCAGGGTGGCTTACAAATGGCACAAAGGACCTAAAACAATACATAACATAAAATAAACACACAATACAATACAAGATAAACCACTAGTATATAAAACAACCATTTGAACTCAAAATGGTGCCCAACAACCTATAGTGTCGACTGTCATAAACATGGTTAGCTGTAAACAAGAAGGGAAAGGGATAGTGCAAGTTGTAGCTAAGGAACAAGGGCATGGGATGAAAAAATGAAAGAACAATGCAATATTTAAAATAAAGAACAATTTTAATCAGTGTGAACTTACCAGTATTGCAGTGGGAAGTGTGGACTGGCTTTTGGTTAATAAGATAGCCAAGTTAATTGGGATTGTTGTTGTGTGCCTTCAAGTTGTTTCAGACATAGGATGACCCTAAATCTAAAGTTTAGAGCAGGGGTTGGGTAAATGACCTTGGAGGGCTGCATCTGGCCTTCAGGCCTTTGTTTGGAGACCCCTACTCTACTGATTACATCTCACAATTAAGATATAATAATTGGATCTCCTGATGTAATCCTTCTTGGAAAATAGTAAACAGGAAACCGGCAATTGTGAATCAACGATCCAGGAGCAGGGAAAGATGGCATTTTATTACCCCTGTGACTGAAATGAGGTTATCATACATTGAACGCATCATGAAATAGCAAGACTCATTGGTAAATTAGGTAATGTTTGATAAAGTGATAGGTGGTTGGAAAAGAAGACGATCACATTGCAGGTGGATTAACTCAGCCAAGAAAACCATGGTTCTGAGTTTGCTAGATGGACAACATGGTTCCTGGGAGGAAATTCTGAGCAGGGCTATTGGTAACAGGGTCTCTCTGTGGCCTCTCCTTTGGTTGTCATAAATCAGTACCAACTTGACAACATATGGAAACATGTGGGCAGAGAATAAAAATCTAGTTTGGGAAAGTGACATTTTTGACAATGACTTCAAAAAAAAACACTGTGCTGCCAGCATCACTATGCTGACTATATTCTGGAAATTCGAGTCCTAGGAAGTAACCTTATTAAAACTTGAGCAGAGCTGTTAATGAAAGGGTCTCTTGGAGGCTTCTGTTGATATGGGTGCCGAATGTTGAAGCCAACTTGGCAGCATATAATAACAGTTGTGTCACACAGATTCTGTGATGCCAATCAATCTCTCACTCATGTTCAGTATTCAAATCTACTTTTGAAATATGGACATGTCACATTCTGTTTCCCAGCAGTCCGGAGATGTTTACATAAATCAAGTTCCCAAGTAGAGAGTTCTTTTCATGTGTTCATCAAAACGGATATGTATCTACCATTCTATGTGTGGTGGGAGTATGCTTGTAACGTGCCCTCTCTTTAAGAACTAGGGGTGGGTTGCAGTACCTTTAAAACAACACTTGATATAAGTATCCTTTTAAAAGACAAGCAAACAAAATACACTGAAAATAAATCTGCTGCTAAGAAAACTCACAGTTTTTATTCTTGGCCATTAGTGCCTTCTTGCATAATCGCGATTTGCATAATCACTTCAACCTGAATAAATGTAAAGTGTTTGGGAGAAACAACTTCCTACTTCACAACAACCAAAATATGAGTCCAAAACCAAGAGAAAATTAAAAATTAAAACACCTCCCTACTGCTACAACCTGTGTATCTCTTCTCTTTACTGCCCAGCAGGTCCTGTCTTTACTCACCATCAGTTGTCCTGGCTTTCGCTCATAAGAATTGGTGCTTGTGGTGGACCACTCTTACAGTGCACCAAAATGGCATGGATTTTACACACAGACCTTTCTCTAATTGGCGGACCACTTTTCCACTATTGTACCACCATATCCACCTGAAAACCTTGCCTTAGGTACATGTACCCAAGGCAAAAGAGAAAATTGATATAGTTTAAGAAGCAAAATATATTGTCTTACTTTAAGACAAATATTACAGTGTTAACAAATTGTATCCATTGTTTCTATATGCTTTTATTGTACAGGCAATCCTCCACATTTGCTAGGGTTAGAGGCAGAGGACCCCTGCAAATAATGAAAAAGAAAAATGCAAACTTTTCATATATTGAGAAAATGCTTCTCTGGGAATATCTAGGTGCTCCAAGTGACTTCATAGTCAACTACTGCTGGGGGACAGGTGAAAGTTGACTATAAAGCTGTACTGGAGGGCCTAGAGATTCCTAGAGAGACCATATCCACAAATATGATTGACCCATAAAAGTTAAACCTATAGATATGGAGGGCCAACTGTTGCTTGATTAACTGCTAAGTAGTTTGGTTACATAGACTGAAGCTTGAGATTCCAACTCCCAAAAGCCAGCCTGTCCAATGGTTAGGAATTCTGGGAACTAAAGTTCAAAACACCTGGTTGTGCAGGCCTGTTTTATACTGCACTTCACAATAGCAGTCTGTACTTGCTTGGCTTTGGATATTACAATACTGGTATTCCATAGCTGACCTTTTTGCACTCAGGCCTGGTGTGAGAGAGTTGGCCGTCTGCAGAGACGGTCATTCAGGCCTGGCTTTCAATACTTTAATCCCAGGTTCTCTCTCACTTTTAGGCTCTTAGCTCTTTTGAAGATTACTGCCAGATTTCCTGTCCCTGTGATGCAGAGACTTCTCAGCCTTCTCAGTGATTTCAGTTCTGATTCCGGTGCTGACCACTCACTGCCTTAGTCCTAATTCATGTTCTTCCTGGGCTCTTCTCCTTCCTAGGACCTCATCACATTTGCTGTTGGAATCACCACGGATCGTGGCAAATCCAGCAATGCCGGGCAAGGGACGGGGGAAATGGTTGCCTCATGCCCCGCGTTGCCTGACTTCCCCCTTACCTTACATACCACAGTGGAAGTGTCAGACGCCCAGCTACCCCCTCTATGCATCATAGGAATCCTCTATGCAACACAGGAATCCTCCCATGTTGCCACTGTGTTCCACTTCAATTTTGCCACGAAGCTCTGTACATTGTGAGATAGGAGCCAGCGGGCTTCATGGCAAAACTGAAGAGGAAACAGTGTATGTCGCCAAATTTTAGTCCATGTGATGAGGTCGTAAGTCTTCCCCCCTGGGTCTTCACTCATCAAACTCGGACTGTCTTCTATTGCATGTGGCTTTGATCACTGACCAGACATTCTCTGCCAGTCATCTTCCAGACAGTGTTGACCATTCCCCCCAGCCTGTGTTATCCAGTTTTGATTCTCTTTAATCATCCAGATACTGGGGAATTGGCCTGACAACAACCATCTAGTAAATAAAACTCAAGAACAGTTCTATACAATATGTGCATCTCTCAAACACAAACTTCAGTTCTCAACTATCCCTTGTCCTGTAACTGGTTAACCCTATCAGTATCCATTAAACCTCAATTAACATAAATCTATACACACAGTACATTCTGCAACAGGGATTTTTCTCCACAGAACCAAATAATAATAATAATAATAATAATAATAATAATAATAATAATAATAATTTAATTTATCATATCAGAAGCCAATTGAGAATACAGTTATAATGTATAGAAAAACCACAAACTTGGCATTATACTAAATTTATTTTGACCAGAAGCTGACCACTTTGAGCGTCTCTGGTGTCGCTGTAAGGAGGTCCTCCATTGTGCATGTGGCAGGGCTCAGGCTGCATTGTAGTAAGTGGTATGTGGTTTGCTCTTCTTCCAACTCGCATGTCATGGACTCCACTTTGTAGCCCCATTTCTTAAGGTTGGCTCTGCAACTCGTGGTGCCAGAGCGCAGTCTGTTCAGCGTCTTCCAAGTCGCCAAGTCTTCTATGTGCCCAGGAGGGAGTTTCTCCTCTGGTGTCAGCCACTGATAAAGGTTCCGGTTTTTAGCCTGCCACTTTTGGACTCTCACTTGCTGAGGTGTTCCTGCAAGTATCTCTGTAGATCTTAGGAAGCTATTTCCTGATTTAAGGTGTTGGCTTGCTGGCTGTATCCCAACAGAGGATGGGCTGGAGATGTCAATGCCTTGGTCCTTTCATTATAGACTGCTACTTCCCAACAGATATCAGGTGGTGCAATACTGGCTAAACAGTATAATTTCTCCAGTGTTGTATAATAATAATAATAATAATAATAATAATAATAATAATAATAATAAGTAGTGGTGAAGGGCCACACATTCCCCATGCGTCTTGTATTGTATGAGTAATGTTGAGAGAAACCCAGATATAGATATATTTCAAGAACAAGCATGGCATAGTGATTTTATTGTTGGATTAGGATTCTCGGAAACCAGTATTCTAATCCCTTCATGGCCATGGACCCACTGCAAGACTTTGGACAAATCACATGCTCTCAGCCTCAAAGGAAGACATGGGCAAATCCCCTTTGAACAAAGCTGACAAGAAGCCATAAGTCAAAAATAATTTGAATGCACCCAACAACACCAATTTGTTCCAGTAGTAACAATGCTAGCTGAGGTATTCTAGGAGATGAATTCCATCCTCTGCGTCTTATAGTTGTGTCCACCATCCTACCTGAGGATTGACACATGAATGCCAAGAGTGAGGTTTCTGACCTTCTTGCAGACTGTCTATTTCTTTGAGATCCTGTGGTAGATCTTCCTCCGCTATGCCTATTGCTTGGGGAGAGCTCTGAATTGGGCAGATTGTTCTTTTAAATCAATCCCACAAAAGACTTTTCTTTTGCATTATGAGATGTGACCAAATCCAAATGTGTTTCCTCTTTATATGATGCTAACTTTGAAAGCTGTGGAAGGTTTGGGAGGGTGGAATTGGGTGTCTGGAAGAATGCTTTCTACATTGGTGTGACTAATAAATTTTGTACACTACTAGGCATGAGGTTCTGAATTGCAATTCATGTGGTGCTGTGAAAACTTTCCCCCTTCTGGGGGTACTTTTTGCTACTAGACTGTCAGAATTGCAAGAGATAATGTCTCCTTTTCTGGATGGGATGTGGTTTTGTTATTTAAGTAACAGTCATATGGTTAAGAAGGCAGATATGGGAAGCTAATCTTCTTGCATTATGGATTTTAGAACTATTGGGAACTTTTAAGAGGTTGCATTATTTATTAATGTAATAAATTGCTATCTTGTTTTTCATGTCTAAGAATATTGTAAAGCAGTGGTTCTCAACCTGTGAGTCTACAACTCCCAGAAATCCCAGCCAGTTTACCAGTTTACTGATTGAAATCCTATGATTAATCCTGGCTAGAGTAGAACCAGTGAGTCAAGTGGATTTATCTATATGTTGACTCATCCCTCAACTGGTGATTCAGTGGGTCTACTACAGTGGGTCTCAACCTGTAAGTCCCCAGGTGTTTTGGCTTACAACTCCCAGAAATCCCAGCCAGTTTACCAGCTGTTAGGGTTTCTGGGAGTTGAAGGCCAAAACATCTGGGAACCCACAGGTTGAGAACCACTACTCTAAAGGGAGGTTATGTGACAGATTAGTGTTGGCCCAACATGCAGATGTGATAGGTTTAGGGTTAATGCTAGGATGTGATAGGACTACAGTTCTCATCATCTCTCATCATTAACTATGCTGAATAGGCCTGATGAGAGTTACAGTCCATCTACATCTGGAAGTGTTCACCAAATCCACACTATACTATATGGATTTGATAGTGTAATTGAGCACTGGAATTGGGATGCTTCCTTATGAGAGCCTTTCAGATATTTGAAGACAGGTATCATATCATCCCTCAGGCTGGAGCCCCCGGAGGCACAGTGGGTCCCTGTGCCGGCAGGACTGAAGACCGACAGGTCGCAGGTTCGAATCAAGGGAGAGCCTAGATGAGCTCCCTCTATCAGCTCCAGCTCCTCATGCGGGGACATGAAAGAAGCCTCCCACAAAGATGATAAAATATTAAGTCATCCGGGCGTCCCCTGGGCAACGTCCTTGCAGACGGCCAATTCTCTCACACCAGAACCGACTTGCAGTTTCTCAAGTCACTTCTGACACGACATAAAAAACCTATCCAGTTCCCTCAACTGTTCCCGTGGCGCTTGGTTTCCAAACCCTTGTCTGTTTTGGTTGCCCTTCCCTGGAAGGTTTTGTGGAAAAGCTGACAACACAAATCAGTTGTTGGGGAGACGAGATAGATGGCTAAATGTTTTATGGGTTTTCTGGGGTAACACAACAAGTTATGCTTTCCAGATAGATCTGTCTTTATTTAATCGGTATACTCTCTACTTTTATTTTGTAATAATACAGATGAAGTCCACCACATTTTCACCTCAGCTGGCTTGAATGAAGTACAGAATCTATTTGATCGACGATTGCAAGTAAACAGGAAGAAAAAAATGACGATACATCGTGTCTGGATACAAAGCAAATTCAAAAAACCAGTGGGACTGGATCAAAGCAGGAAAGAAAATGTTCTGGAGAAACACAATGCCTAGCCTGAATGTTTCACATTATTTTCCAGGTGAACTGGAAGAAATGAATAAAAAAACTAAGACTTGATATTTATAATAGATTGGTAAAAACTGAACAATGCAATAAAAATATGGGCAGTTATGCACATCCATTAAAGGTTTTTTTTTTGTATTAACACATATACTGTCACATATAATCTGATTCTAAAACTGTGTAAAAGTGGATGGTGGCATTGATTATATGTAGAAGATATAGAATAGATGGGCATCTATGGCAAGGACCTGTTTTGGCTCCAGCAATGGGTCTGGGGAGGGGGGGGCAGTGAGAAGTGCTGTAAGGGGTCCTCGCTAACCTTTCAAATTTGCCTACCCCTGTCCTTTGAGGTGCACAAGTGTGGGTAAGCTGGCAAAAGGAGATTGGGGAAGGAGAAACAGGACAAGAGAATAGTATTTAATTTTTTTAAAAAAATTAACAGAATAGTAAAAGGGTCATAATTATGTTGAGAAGTTATTAATAATAATAATAATAATAATAATAATAATAATAATAAACATCACACAGTCCTAAACACTTGGGAAGTGTTCGACTTGTGATTTTTCTGATACAAAATCTAGCATATATCTCTTGTTTGCTGTGACATACTGTGTTTTTGTGTCAGTAAAATAGTAACAACTTTTTTCTTACATCCCACCACCATTTCCCCAAAGGGACTCAGGGCGGCTTACAGACAGCCCAAAGTATCTAAAAACAAACATAAAAGTGAACACAATATAAAATATAGTAAAATAAAACACATGAACATATAAAAACATTAATTCAGATTCAATCTGAATCCTCTGCAATCCTCTAACCATGGTGGTAAATTATTGGCACCATGGCCGGGCTGTAAATATTGGAGTAAAATAAGTGCCAGCTGCAGTCATGGAGAGAGGGCATGGGATAAAGTGCAGGATGTTCCACTACTATGTAGGACAACTAGGGCCTAAATATTTTCAAAGGCTTGATTGAAAACCTATGTAAGGAGGACAGTGTGGAGGTCTGTCTAATCTCCCTGGGAGGGTGTTCCAAAGCTGGGTGGAGCACCACTGAGAAATCCCTCTCTCTCGTTCCCACCAACCACACTTGTGACCGTGGCAAGACCGAGAAGAGGGCCCGTGCTGGTTCATTGGGGGGGGGGGGGGGGGGGGGGAGGATTGCATACTCTACAGTTATACACTTGTGATTGTTACATATTCACAATACCTCCATACCCCATAGTTTAAGGCACAAGTGTTAAATGCAAGGCCTATGGGCCAAATCCAGCCCACCATGTCATTTTATGTAGCCCACGAGGCTTTCAGTGCCAGGATAACATAGCTACATTTACACAGACTTACGGTTACAACCAGCCCTTTGAAGGCAACCATAAGGCTGGTGTGGCCCTCAGTGGAAATGAGTTTGGCACTCATGGTTTAGGGGCTATGTAGGAATCGTGGCAGTCTCTCCAAACCACATTTATTGAAAAGGAGCATTTGTGATTCAAAGGGGTTTGTGCACTTCTCATTTAGGAAGCAGCTGGCTTATGATCTCATACCCCTCGCACTAGCAATCTCTAGTGCAAGGAAGAATTGCTGCAAGGGTCTGCTTTTACCTGTTACACCAAAGATTGCTCTTGGTGTGTTTAAATGCCAGTGAGCTGCTTTCCAATCAGCAGGGGAACAGACCCTTGTCAATTGTACTGGTTGCTTCCTGTTAAGCAGGGGCAGGATTCACTGTGCAGCACCATAACTATGAGGCTTATGAATATGTAAATCCTCAGCAGGATTAAAGTCTCTGTTTTTAGACTTGGAGTTTTAATTGTAGCTTCCACACAACCATATAACCCAGAATATCTAGGCAGAAGTCCCGCAATATCTGCTTTGAACGGGGTTATCTGGGTCCACACTGCCATATATTCCAGTTCAAAACTGAAAATATGGGATTTTATTCAGCTGTGTAGAAAGGGCCCAAGTTTTCATAATGAATGGTGAGATACAGATATTTTAATAAATTAATAATAATGAACTTTATGTCCTACCTTGTTATTATTTTCATTTATTCGTCTTTTGGAAAGGAAGGGTCCTTTCACTTCAGCAAAAAGTACATCACAGACACTTGAAGGGGTTGAAAACAACTTCCTTTGTAGTTTTTCTAAGACATCAGTTAACAACAACCCTCCAAATATTAGAACGAATCAATGCAATTTATTGTATGATCATAGACCTATTAATGCAAAACACTGAAAACAACTCAGATTGCACTGTTACTCCTAGAGATGAACTAAAATATAACATTCAATTCATTGTATAAGAAAATGAACATGTGAAATAAAGGGAGGAAAAAATCATCCATGGCAAGCTGAAGCAATAGATTTGGGGTCTTCTGTCAGCGGCATAAACTTAATAAAAAGATTAACAATTAAATGTGACACATCACATCTCAATTCTGAGAAGGATCCACAAAATCCACAAGTACACCATGTGCATTCATGATAGCACCCAGTCTTGTCAGTCATGCTGTGACAGAATGATCGGCATGAACATATGCACACTTTTAACACTGAAGCAAAATGTTTTGTATAAAACATTTCTATTTATATCTAGATTGGACTCCTGCAGAAGGAGATCTTGTCTGAATGTTGGGACCCCTTAAAATTATGTCTTCCAACAAAGATGTGGGTTAATCTATCTTTTTTCGGGTCATCTTGGAAAATATTCAGTTTTTTAGAAGCCCAACTAAAATGTACAATTGTTGCAAGTAGTCTTAAGGTTTCACTTCTCCTGGGGATGAGCTCTCAGAGATGATGTGAGCCAGAGGGTTTTATTATTTATTTTGTTTACAGTATTTATATTCCGACCTTCTCACCCCGAGGGGAATCAAGGTGGATTGCAGAACACATACATGCAAACATTCACTAACGTTATACATTGCCAAGACACACAATTGTACATAGATAGAGGTATATATAGGATTTCCCATCTTTAGCATATTGGAGGCTGTGCTTGATTCCAGCCACCAGGGGGTGCTGTCGCTCCACTTTCCCTGCCAAAGAGCTTTGTTCATAAACCTCCTCCTGGATCGCATTGCCGACATTTTTCTGGCATTTCCTTATGGATGCCTCCCCGCTTTAAGTGGTACCTATTTATCTACTCACATTTGCTTTTGAACTACTAGGTAGGCAGAAGCTGGGCTAAAGGCCATAAGCTCACCCTGACCTGGGCTTCAAACTGTCAACCTTTCGATTGGCAAGATTTACTGCAGTTGGCGGTTAACCTGCTGTGCTAAACTCTGGCCCTGGGAGTTGCCAGCCAAAAGAGCACATTTTCTGTCCTTTACTTGAAACTGGGAAAAGAAAAGTTATTTAGATAATTAGGAAACTGATATCAAAGAAACCAGTTTTTAAATAAAGAAGAAGAGAAAAATTATTCTCCAAGAAGAGAGGTACCACCTTGCTGAAATGCTGGAAAACTCTTAAGTAAATGTTGGTCTGAAGGGGAAATGGATTTCCCTTCTGCATTAATTTCTTTTCTTTCTTTTCTGCCCCTTGGATCAGTCAAGGACTATCTTGATGATCAGTTGGAAATGAGCAGGTTCCACGACTGCTTATAATGAGAACTTGATTCCATAAGGGAATAAGCCCATCATATTTTTTATCCTCAATCACAAGCTTGGACTGTTTATATGTGAACAAAAATTAGTGGAGTGAAAGGATACCAAGCTACACCTACTGAAGTGTGAAACGCTGTTTATTTTTAAACTGGAGTTCTCACTTTCTTACACATAAGGAGAAAAGCAAGTCACTCTGCCAACAAAATCTGTACTTGATTTTATAAGAGTTAATTAGAAATCGATAGATAGTTCCACAAGAGGCTTCAGCTACACCTCAGTGAAATGAAAGCAGCCTCTAAAAGAAAATGAGTATAAATAAAAAAATGGAAAAAAATAGCCATGGTCAGGAGTATAGCTGTGGTGGATGAGGGCATGGTCCCACAATAAGAATGATGTTTCCTAATGAAATTTTCCTTCAGCTCTCAGGTGGCAGAAGGTGAGATACTCTAAATCATTTCCATCAGAACTCTTATACAGTCAGCTCTCTGTATCCACGAGTTCTGGTCCATGGATTCAACCAAATATGATTCAACCAAATATGACTCAAAAATATTTGGAGGTTGGAGGGAGATTCCTCATAGCAAACTGATTTTGCTCTGCATGCCCTGTGATATGCCCACCACTCTGGCACTCATAAAGGTCTTTGCCATTTTATATAAAGGACACCATTTCACCACACTATTGTATATAATGGGACTTGAGTATCCATAGATTTTGGTATCCACGGGGGTCCCAGAACCAAACCCCAGTAGACACCAAGACCAGGCCTGTAGTCGGGGGGGGGGGGGGGGGTTAGGGGTTCAACCCCCTCCCCCTGAATTTTTTCAGGTTAAAAAAAACCTGGTTTACTCATGAATTTTAACTGGTTAACCAAATCCCCATGCTAAGTCTATGAGACTCAAAAAAAGAGTCCCTCCAGAACTGCAAGCACTATCTCAAGCAAATATTGACAATTTATTCACACTGCCATTACTTTCAGCAATAGCCAATGTAGCGAAGCAACCAAGTTGGGGGGGGGGGGGGGGTTGAATGCTCTCATTAAGGAGGCCAGACTTGGTGGAGGTGGTTGACAGGGACGGAGCTGCAGGCTACTGAAGGCTGCTCTGCCCTCTGCTGTGCTCTTTGCTTCAGCGTGAGCTAGGAGGCAGGTTTCAACCCCCCCAATTTTCAACACCCCCCCCTGAAATTTTCAACCCCCTCTGAAATTTTTTTCTGGCTATGGCCCTGACCAAGACCCTTCTGAATTTTCTATATTTACACTAATAGTTTTGTCTTTCTATTTTCTTGATATGTCTAAACTACAGTATTTCGAAATCAGTGATTTCCAACTTTTTTTTTTATCAGCGACCACTTGACCAGGGACCACTCTCCAACGTGGGTCCCAAAAGGATTACAAATCAGTTTTTGGTCAACTTTAAATTCACTTCGGTTATTTGGGGTGCTGATTCAGAAAACTGCATTGGATAGACCACATCAGCTCTAGTATCTGATACAGAACATCCAGTAGTTGCCAT